CCTTCCAACAGTTGACTCATGGTCCTATCCCCGGTAAAAAGATTCACGTCCTTGACCGAAAAACGGACCGCTCGTCGTATGTCAGTGACCGAGTAAAGGGACCCGTCGGGTTCCTGACCCGTTCCCTGACACGCGAGTACGAACGAGGTTCGCCTTTCCTGCGAACGAAAAGGTTGCGCCCCTCCTCCAGGACGTAACAATATTTAGCCTATTTATTTATTCGATCAATGGCTTATTTTTAAGATCTTAAGTGAAAACAACAAATAAACAAAGATTTCACGAACATATGCTTTCATTTGTGTGTATTGCCGTCTATTGCAAAATTTGGATGCATTTAATTTCATGGTTTCCTTTTCAGGGTTTTATTTGGGTGTTATTTTGAGAGTTTCCTTGGATGTTATTTTGAGGGTTTTCGTTGAACATTAACCCTCATTTGGGTATAACCTTCAAATGATGATCCGAGATCACACTCAATTTGAGTGTTTTTTCATTGTACCGAATGTTTCAGACCATCCGGGTCACCCGATTTTTTTGTAAACACCTCATTTTAGAGCAAAATGTTTTAAACAAAAGTTGTAGGACTTCAAAGAATCTATTTACTGATGCTAGAAATTTGAGTTTAGGATAACCTTGAGGAGCCCAATCAAGATCAACATAAAAATCTTAAATGGAAACTCCAATTTTTGGTTTCACCGTCTTTTTCCACCAATTAATTTGAACAACTTTTGTCTGAAATATTTTCTTATTTGCCTAATATTTTTGACATATTTAAGGATAACTAGGTAACTTTTTCAACATTTTACTTACGATATCTTGCTAACTATTCGTCGAAAGAAAAAATAGTATTAGACTTTTTTACTTTATTTACTATCGAGAATATATTACTATAATAGTACCCTTTTATTAATATACTTTTATACTTTTATTAATATTTTTATTAATTTAATAATTTTGAAATTTCCAATGGTCGATAAGTTAACAAAAGTTAGGGCACTATTATAGTAATATATTCCTGATAGTAAATAAAGTAAGAAAGTCTAATACTATTTTTTCTTTCGACGAATAGTTAACGAGATATCGTAAGTTAAATGTTGAAAAAGTTACCTAGTTATCCTTAAATATGTCAAAAATATTAGGCAAATAAGAAAATGTTTCAGACAAAAGTTGTTCAAATTAATTGGTAGAAAAAGACGGTGTAATAAAAAATTGGAGTTTCCGTTTACGATTTTTATGTTGATCTTGACTAGGGTTTTCAAGATCATCATCCCAAAGTTAAATTTATAGCATCAATAAATAGACATTTTGAAGCCCTACAACTTTTGTTTGAAACATTTTCCTTTAAAATGTCGTGTTTACGAAAAAATCGGGTGACTCCAGTTATTTGAAACACCCGGAATAACACAAATTGAGCGTTTATTCGGTATATAACACTCAAAGTTGAGCGTTTTTTTATCGGTATTTAATACCCAAAGCGTTTTTTGAGTGTTAATACCCAAAATTGAGGATTTTTTTTCATAAGGGAGGAGATTAATTATTGGAAACAGTTTGGTTGTCGGGATAATCTTCATGTCCGGAGATCACACAGTAAACTCCTATTATTAGATAAATACTTATTTAACTATATGTATAGTAGGCTGACTAGGCAAATCACAGTTAACGCGAAGGAAACTTGCAAGACGTCTATCTTTTGCGACGGTTGTAAATGAACAAATCTCTCCGCTCTTGCACGCGCTTAGCTGTCAAGCGGCCAATCCTGAATCCTGGTTGTCCACGCCCACGTCAGATTAAAGAGCGCAGGTGCAATAACGCACGCAGCTACGCTATAGTAGCCTGAGTTCCGATATTCATTGCGTAGTGAATATGATCGGAACGCAACCAATGGCTCTCGTAGTCAGCGCGATGTGCGATGCAACACGCGACGCGTATAATATCCAAAGTAGAATAGCTAGGCCGGTTCTAACCCAGGAGTGCTGAGGGGGGTGCGGGGGAAGCGGGGAACTCAGGGCGCGTGGTATGACGTCGCGCGGGGAAGGAAAACTCATGGTGGGACGTCACGCATACGTCACGAGAAAAAAAATGTGGTGGGACGTCACGCAAGATGGTGACCGTGATGTCATGCATACGTCACGAGAAAAAATGTCATATAATGTGTTTTAAATGTCCCCTCGTAATTATCAAACTGAAATAATATACAGCGAACTGAAATTATATACAGTGTTTATATAAAATAACTAGTATGTTTTGACCGAAATAGTTACATATCGAACATCTCTCCAACGTCTCTCGAATGTCTATTGAACGTCTCACGAACGTCTCACGAACGTCTATCGAACGTCTATCAAACATCTATAGGTATTTTTATCAATATAATTAACATAATTAACATAAAAAATCCTAAGAAAGGGGATAAGGGGAAGTTGGAAGAAAGGATCTGGTCTAAAGTAAAAAAGATGTATCATAATATATAACAAAGTAATTTATTTATACTTTTATTACAATTTGTAAACGCTGCAATATAATGGTGCTGTGTATTACAATATCACATTTTGACCAAAATATTTTTGTCAGCCGTCGACCTCCCAGACTGCTGATACCAAATCGTAGGTCTACAAGTACTATTGTGGTATCAGATAAAGAAAGGTATGCATATCTTATCATAGGATGCCTGTGAAGCATTTAGTGCTGCATCATGTAAAGATATGACTATTTTGGCTAGGTTTTTCCGGGAGTTATAATAACGAGAAGAGTGGCAAAAGTGAAGCATATAGATTTAATTTTGTGTGTATTTACCAGTCAGAGCTCTTTCAGTATGGATCGTGAAAACATAGAGCATGAAGAAGTAGAAGACGAAGAAATAGAAAACGAAGAAATGGAAGACAAAAAAGTAGAAGACGAAGAAATAGAAAACGAAGAAATAGAAGACGAAGAAGATATAAATCATATACTCACGGATGATAGTAATTATGATAGTGACAATAGTAATCAATTAGTGAATGAAAAAGTGAAGAAATTGGAAGTTTCAGAAATTAATACTTTGAGTGGCCAAACAAAAGTGTGTTGCATTTATTTTTCATATAATTCTGGAGACAATTTACGGTTCTGCACATCATGTTTTGTTGATGGCGTTCGCGATACAGTTACAGAAATATTTGCAGTGCGCAAACACATCACCGAAAGACACGATGTGATTGATGGTGTATTTTGTTCAAACTGTAGAAACCCCGTCTACCAAATAACACCATGTAATCTGTGTCCAATATGTATGCACTAATATGACATATTTAAAACAGAATTCTTATATACGGTACAAAAACTTCATCCAATACACTATACAAGATAAAAAGAAGCAGGAAGAATGTAATAACGATATGTGTGTGTGTGCGTGTGTGTGCGCATGTGGAAGACAGAAGAGCTATAAAAAAGTTCAAATCAGAACATTCTATAATTTAGTCGAAGACAAACAGAGTGGACGCCAGACTGCTGATACCAATCATAGGTCTATAAGTCTATTATTGTATCAGATAAAGAAAGGCATACACTTAGGCAAAGTCCACAACGAGTTGATATGAGTTTAAGACTCAGGAATGTGTTTAATAGTTCGTCGAGGAAGTTTCCCGAATTTTGATAATGGCATGTATTTATGAAAGAGTTAAGGGCTATAAAATGTTCAAAGCAGAATATTCTATAATTTAGTCGAAGACGAGCAAAGCGCGCAGTTACAGTGTGTTTACAACGTTTTGCTAGAAAAATGGCAGAATCATCATTATCATCATTATCAACCGTAGAACGTGAACTGCAGAACCAGGCCGCTCAATTAGGCTCGCTAGACGAATACCTCGCATGGGAACAAAAGTGCGACGAGTGTCTCGAGTCGTTGGAACAGCATAGCCGAGCCAAACAACCACGACTATCGGTTGGTTCAGCGCACTCGATGGTTGCTCGTATAGCGCAACTCGAGGGTTTAAAAAATACTTTGCGCAGACGTTTTGTATACGCAGGTGCCGGACATTCGACACTTGTTTGGCGAGAAATCGATACAGCGTTCAATAGTCGCATATCAACCGGGGCGATTGTAAATACAGACTATATCGACCCTCTTCGATTCCTCCAAGATGTGAAGAATATCGTGCTCGAGCATGTGCGAAGCGTTATGAAGAGACATGGTAGCATAAAAGTGAATACTGTGTTCAACGGTGAATTTGTGGCAGGTAATAAACGCGCGAACAAGAGCATTAATACGAGGAACGTTGAACTTTTTTTCACATCCGATCTAGACAATTGGTTCGCGATGCGTGTTATCGAACCCACCTTAGCGTCCATGGAAGAATTTCAGGAACGAGATAGCGGGTGGACACTCTCGCGCATACTCAATCTGACCGTTAATGTTAACAAGTACAATCCATTACATTCGAGATGTCATATCGAGTTACCGCGCGAAATAAAAATGAAGCGGGCTATAATCAACGTGCAATCTATGGACAATGCATGTTTCGCATGGGCAGTGGTTGCAGCGTTATGTCCAGCCGACAAACACGCAGATCGTCAATCTTCGTACCCACACTATACATCGGTTTTGAATATGCAGGACATTGAATTTCCAATGCGCATAAATCAAATTAAAAAGTTTGAACGGTTGAACGATATCTCGGTCAACATTTATAGTGTGGAGAAGAGATATGACAACGCGACAAAGAAAGAAGGAAACGTGGTCGCACCTATACGTCTTACGGAACAGAAAATGGAGAAGCATGTCAACCTGCTGCATATCCCAGATCCGCGAGATGATGATAACACTGGGCACTTCGCGTGGATCAAGAATTTGTCCCGACTCGTCAGCTCACAACTGAGCAAAAAGGAACACAAAAAACATATTTGCGACCGGTAAGTATACACAAAGAACGCAATGTATAATGTGACATATACTAATAACAAATAATGTTTTTCCAGATGTCTACATTACTTCAGCTCGAGCGAGAAGCTGGAGAACCATACCGTCGACTGTCAAAAAATGAATAACTGTGCCATCATCTTGCCAAACGATGACAACAAATGGCTCAGCTTCACCAACTACTGCAGGAAGGAGCGGATCCCGTTTATAATTTACGCCGACTTGGAATGCATCCTGGAGAAGACACCGAGGGAAGAACAAACGAGTTCGTATGCGTATCAACATCATAGCGTATTTAGTATAGCATATTACGTTCGATGTTCCTACGACGAGTCATTATCCGCGTATCGATGTCGTCGCGATCGGGATTGCATCTCATGGTTTGTCAAAGAACTTGAAGAACTGGCACATCGTGTAAAGGATATTTTGTCCGCAAATGTCCTCATGGAAACTTTGTCGAAAGAATAGTGGGAGACATTTCAAAACGCTATGCTGTGCCATGTGTGCGAGAAATCATTCGCAAAGGATGATACACGCGTGCCCGATCATTGCCACCTGACTGGACGGTACAGAGGTCCCGCGCATTCCAATTGCAATCTAAATTATCAAGACAGTTATTGCATTCCCGTGGTCTTTCACAACTTATCCGGTTATGATTCACACTTTATCATCAAAGATATAGCAACCGCGTTCGAAGGTTCAATCACTGTACTACCGATAACCAAAGAGAAATATATTTCATTTACAAAGACTGTAGGAAACATGATGGATAGTAAGAATAAATGGAAAAATTGTATACAATTGCGGTTCATCGATTCGTACAAATTTCTCAGTAGTAGTCTCGGTAAATTGGCGTCTTTTCTCGACAACGACAAATTAAAAATTGTTCGGTCCGAATTTTCAAATTTGTCCGACAAGGATTTTAATTTATTGACGCGAAAGGGGGTCTTTCCGTACGAATACCTTGATTGCGCGGACAAGCTGCAGGATCGGTGTTTACCGCCGCACGAGTCATTTTACAATTCGTTGACGGGTGACACGGTATCTGAGAGCGATTACGCGCACGCCACGAACATCTGGCAACGGTTCGCCATTCAAACTTTAGGTGAATATAGCGACTTGTATCTGAAGATTGATGTCTTGTTGCTGGCCGATATTTTTGAAAATTTCCGCAATAGTTGTATCAAAAGTTATGAGTTAGATCCCGCGTATTATTACACTTTGCCTGATTTTACGTGGGATGCTATGTTGAAGCATACGGGCGTTAATTTCGAACTGCTCACTGATATCGATATGGTCATGTTCATCGAGCGCGATATTCGCGGTGGCCTCAGTTAATGTTCCGGTAGATATGCAAAAGCCAATAACAAGTACATGCAGTCTTACGATCCATTGCAACCATCATCATACTCGATGTACTTCGATGTAAATAATTTGTATGGTTGGGCAATGTGTCAACAGTTGCCATACGCCGAATTTCGATGGGTCGATGATGTATCGAATTTCGACGTATCATCAATCGCACTAGATTCACCTATAGGTTACATTCTGGAGGTTGACTTAGAGTATCCGCAACATCTGCACGACGCACACACTAACCTACCGTTCTGTCCGACGCGGGGCAAACCGCCAAACAAAAAGCAGGACAAGCTTCTCGTAACCTTATGCGATAAGCAGCGTTATGTGATTCATTATCGCAACCTGCAGCAGTGCACGCGTCACGGTCTTCGTATTGGAAAGATACACTCAAATATACTCAAATTTGCTCAATCTTCATGGCTCCGCGATTATATCGAACTTAATACGCAGTTTAGAACACGCGCGACAAACGATTTCGAGAAAAATTTGTACAAATTGATGAACAACACGGTGTTCGGTAAAACTATGGAAAACGTTCGCAATCACGTAGACGTAAAACTATTGACAAAATGGGATGGACGATACGGTGCTGAAGCAAAGATTGCGAGACCAAATTTTCATAGCAGAAGTGTCTTTTCGGAAAATTTAATCGCCGTTGAGCTACGTAAACTTGAGGTGAAATTCAACAAGCCGATCTATGTGGGTATGTGTATCCTTGACATATCCAAGATCTGCTTGTACGAATTTCATCACGAGTACATGTCTCCTCTGTATCAGAACAGATGTAAAGTAATGTACACCGATACTGATAGTTTAATCTACCATATCCAATGCGATGATATTTTCGAGCACATGAAACGTGATATTTCTAAGTTTGATACGAGTGATTATCCCGCTGATAATGCGTACGGTATACCACTTGTCAACAAAAAGGTACCAGGTCTGATGAAAGATGAAAATAACGGAGCGATTATGACGGAATTCGTCGGGCTCAGAGCAAAGATGTACGCGCTAAAGGTAGACAGCAAAAATGACACGAAGAAGGCGAAAGGTGTGAAGACCAATGTCGTAGCGCGAACTATAACGTTTGATGATTATATGCAGTGTCTGAGAGATGAGGTCAAAAAGTAACGTCGTCAGTCATGCATACGATCCAAAATGCACAAAGTCTACACCGTCTCCGAACTGAAAACTGCTCTGAGTCCGTATGATGACAAACGGTATATCGTACCGAATTCAACAGACACTTTACCATGGGGACATTACAGGATACAATTGTAAACTAAAAAGCGATCATTGTGCATATATGTATATTGTAAAATGAAAAGCGATCATTGTACATATATTTGTTTGTAAGAAATATTGTTAACTATAATAAAAGATGGTTTATTACAAGCTGTTTATAATAGGATATTGTAATATAAAAGTGTTTATAACAAAGAATTGGTTACAATACATTTTCTTTGTGTATCCAAGAGTTGTGCGAATTATCAAACCCCAACCATTTCACTAAAACCTTGTCGCCGCTTTTTTGCAACACCTTTTCCACGAGATAAACGTCAGGATTAGCAGCGCGATGCAGTTCGTATTCGTAAAATCCTCCGGCAATAGACTTTCCGCGAGAATCCTCGAGCAGATAGGTCGCTGGATTAGTTATCTGCACTTTGACGATTTTAAACACTTCGGTTGTCCAATTCGGTGTATAGCCTTTTTCAAAGATGGTTTTGAATTTGCTCACGCGTACCAGATCACCCACTTTGAATCTCGCAGGCGCAGCGATCTTTACGTTGTTGTAGACTGTGTGTAGGAGCTTATCAGCGATTTCGGGTGTCACATCGATAGGACGCATGCCGATAGTTCGATGTTTCCGTGTGTTGTACTCCATGATAAGGTGTGGTAACGAGTCGATCCATTTGTATGTTCCATTCAACGTAAACATTTTCCACATGTCGTTCTTTAACGTGCGGTTGAATCGTTCCACAACAGATGCCTTCATTACCGAGTACGTAGAATAATGATTGATACCGTGTTTTTAAGGAATTTCTGCAGATCCGCATTATAAAATTCTTTTCCCTGGTCCGTTTGCAAATTTTTCGGACATCTTCCAGATTCTTGAAATATCCTGGCGAACACTGCCACTGCTTCTTTACCGCTCTTGCTCTTCATCGGTACAGCCCACGCATATTTGCTCAACACATCGATAATAGTGAGTATATAGTGGTAGCCTCTATTGAATCGCGAGTAAGGACGCATCTCTACCAAGTCAGCTTGCCAAAGATCATCGTATCCGCGCACTATGACGGTCTACGGAGAAAATATCTTCTCACTGGAGCGTGCAACTCCTCCACCAACCGATGCTTTTCGTTACCGATGAGCTGCTTCTCTGAACTTTTCTTCTTTTTGTTAAATTTTGATGATTGCTTCGCCATTGCAGCTTGTGATGATCCGTCTCTCGCTATGTTGATACTATATGTCAATTTAACTGTAATATTCTACTTTTAAATTTCCCCTGATTTCTTTATCTCTGAGCGTGTCCAGTCTAAAATTATGGTATTGATACAGTAGTCTATCTCTCCATTCTAAGTAAATATAAAAACTATATCTTATCATTTTGAAAAAGATAAGTAATTGTAGACCTTTTACGTCTGCGCATCACCATCCCCACTACTTTCTCTATTCTCTACGGGGAAAGACATACGGTGTTGAGACTGGCGAAGCATTCAAGCTTCGTTGCTCCTACTTGCAGCATAGCTAGTTCTCGTTATTACAAGTTCTTTACAAGTTATTAACAAGTCCTTGGAAGAAAAATGTTCGGCGCTAACGTGGACACCGCTCTCAAGAAGACGTCGAAAAAGACGAGCAGTCTCTCTACAGAAGTGGGAAACGACCGTAACATGCTTCTATGTACGACGTACGCGCTCAACAATTCGGACACTAAGAGGATGCAGGTTGGATTGCGCACCACGTACGACATGGGTCCATTTGAGCCAACGATCAGGATCATGGGGAACACGTCTTCAGGAATTCTCCTTGATTTGAATACGTGGGAGAAGTTTAAAGATATTATACCCTCTGCAAATTCTTATTTGTGTGGGGAAAATAAGAATACACCAACCCTATCATCATCAACAATATCAGCATCAACTTTACCTCAGCGTACGGTGCACGAGCTGTAATGGTGAGTCAGCGAAAAATGCTGGACGAGAGCGGACCTGCGAAGAAGACATCGGAGGAGTCTACGCATCTGAAGCAACCGCCGCTGAAGAAGCATAAGCTGTATACGGAGAATATTATAATGCAGAAGACATCTTTCGATGGTCTGCAAACTGTCACAAAATGTATCGATGCTAGATACGAACATTTACAAGCGGTTGCCGTCTTGTGAGTAATTGCAAATATATTTTAGTAGGCGAAATAGAACTTAATCTCACGAAGGAAGGTGTAAACGAAGATTTCGTAAAACGGACGCTCGTTGATAATATCGCGAAATCGAGGAAAATGTACGACGGCAAATGAAAAATTTACAATTTTTAGACACATATTTTAATATTGTTTCCGTGAATTGATACGATTCATTTAAATGAAATTATACACGAGATTATAACAAACGCAGAATGCTACGAGTGTTTGCAAAACTACGAATGTAACTTAAAAATAAAATGTGAATTTATTTTATAAAAATGTTGTATATTCCTTTCTCCCCACCTCTTTTCTCTTCCCTGCGATCTCCAATTCGTTGTAACAAAACCCAACTTAACTTAACTTTCCGAGTTCGAAAGCGAAGGGGACACACAGGTAAAAATATATTCTACTTTTATATTTCCGCTGATTTCTTTATCTCTGAGCGTGTCCAGTCTAAAATTTGGTCTATGTTCTCATGAATGCTATTTATGCTCTATATATTTTTTTTCCGGGATCTTCCAGCCAATCCTTCAATTTTTTCATTCTCATCTACATACTGCTTCATCTCAACGTTACTCTCATGCAGTAGAAGCTTTACAGCATTTATTTCTCATCGATATACTGTTTCTTCTCAACGTTACTTTCATGCAACATAAGTTTTACAGACTTTATACTCTCATCCACATAATATTTGTGGCAGCG